CTGAACCTATTTGAGATGTAGGAAAAACAACAGCAAGCTCCACTTTTTATTTAATAAACTAGTAAAATTTCTAAAAAAAACCCTAATTTAATCTCAAAGTAATTTTTCCAGCAGTTGGTTTGCAATCTTCCAGCCAGACAGTGGAAATAAGCTCTGGTAATTTTCAGTTGGTACAATTGAAAGTGAACTGCAACTTAAAAATACGTCTATAAAATCACAGAAAGTTCTTGCCCAGGGAACTTGTAGTGTCTATGTTATTCGTTTAATAACTTATGATTAGTGTTGATGTTTTCGATAGTGTCCCAAAACTGCACTGACTGAAAATTAAAAATACATTTACAATATTAGATGGAATAGTTTAACCTAATTTTCCTTCCACTTAAGTTCCAAGGGCTCTCTTCTGCCGCTAGGTAAAACAAGAAATCCCACTATAATGAAAAAGAATTTTGTGCAGATGTTGATGCTAATATCTGACCTAGAGCTCTATGTTTTCTTTGCAGAGCCTCGCCTCATTTATGCATGTAAAAATCTGGAATAATTTCCAACAGAGTCAAAACTGCAGAATTAGGTGGGTTTAAACAAAATCTGTTTGGAAATCAGAGTTTATAGCTTACTGGGTAAGTAAAGGGCAAAATTATTTTCAAATGTTTATCTCTGAAGACAATATAACCATTTACCTATCCTTAGTGAATACTTTTTAACTAATTCAAAACCTTTTTTAAATGGTGGAATGATAATTATACAATGATGGAAGATGAACTGAGTGCTTGAACAATTTACTGCACCCAGGTTAGAAATTTTCACTGAATTTTTAAACTCTTAAATCAATATTGTGCAATTTTTATATAACTTAGAAAATCTCATCAAATAATATAATGACATTAATCCATAAGCAGCAAGAGTATCAGTTCTGATGTAAATAGGGATTAATTAATTTGATTATATACCTAAACATGGATGTTTTACACAGTTATTTTAACAACAATTGTATTTATATGATAATTAAATATATATTTAATGAAATCTCCCAATGTCTGTAAGAGGAAGTCTGTTTAATGTTTACTCTATTAATGTCTGTTCTTGCAGTCCTCCCAAATGACACCACTGCAATATTTCTGTATGTAGCAGATGTCAAAGGGATTCGGTATTCAAAAGTTCAGCAG